CACTGACGCCAGCCATGGTTGCTCTCTTCACTTAAATTCTCCAGGTTCAGAGTAGCCTTCCCTTCAGTGGTCACTATCCTCTCTTCAAGGACTTCACCAACACTTTGTGAATCCCATCCTCGTCGCCAGTGTAGTATCTTGCGTTATTTAATGGGAGAAATGACAAGTCACATGGTCTGTCTGGCTGGGGCGTTTATTCTCTGTTCTTGGTTACAACGTGCCGAACATGTGTAAGTCTCCTCTGCTACAGAAATATTAGCGTGGTGAGTCAGTGTGAGTGTGTCCAGTCGAGGGGGGGGGGGGCAGTAATGCATTGCTCTGCCCTTTACCAACTCATTCTAAGATAATATACGTTTAGTCGTGAATGTTGGTTTCTATAATAAACTAACATTTAACACACGTAGTAACAGCTCTCATCAGTAGACATGACGTGAACTTTACAATTAATAGTAGCATTTTACTTCCAACAATCCTGTCGGTATCTTTCGTTCTCTGGTGGCCTTTTTTGGTGTAGAGTGTACCTCGGCTGTCACTCGTGTGGGGACCGGCGTGGCGTCCTCCACTGAGGTGGCTGGAGCTGTGGCGACTTGCCCGAGGACGCTCCCCATGAGTATTTGGAGCTGTGTGGTTTGGATCTTGTGGCCCAGTAGTCCGGCTAGGCCCTCCGCGAAGGTTGTCAGTACCTTGGCTAGGTCTGATACGTGCATCATCCTTCTGGTGCCTTGGTGAGTGCTGCTTTTGTCTTTTTCGTGGTTGTTGTTGTCTGCTGCTTGGGTGGTTGAGGTGTGGCCGTAGTGATGCCAGGAAACTGGGCTGCACTTTGGGTGTTGACCGGCTGAGGAAGTTGGCTTTGTTGTTTTGGCCTTTGGGTTCCCCACACGAAGGTACTTGGTGGGGCTGGTGTGCAGGCGGTGGGGGCCGGTCTTGCTGCTGGTCGGTTTGCCTGGACCCTCTTTGTCCTCTCAGAGCATCCAGGGTTCCAGGCGTAGTGATTGCCCCCGCAGTTGGCACACATGGCGGCAATTTTTTCTCCATTTTTCAACTTGGTGAGGTAGGAATGTGTGCCATGCTTCTGTGCGCAGACTGCGCAGATTTCCTTGTACGTGTACCTCGTCTGATGGTGCCCATATTTCTGGCATCTGAAGCACCGCAGGGGCTCTGGGACGAAGGGCCTCACTTCGTAGATCCCCCAGGTTTTGAGGTCTATGGTGCTGGGGGATGGACCGTAGTGCGTTATGAGCACTTGTTTTGTGGTGGCCGTCTTGCCCGACGGGGGGGAGCATCTATCGGCTTTTAGGATCTTCGGGTGGTTCTCCAGGGGCTCGAGGGGTAGTTCCTTTGGGTACTGGAGGACTACCGATTTCATCAGTTTCTGGGCGGGGTCCAGCTTGGTTGATGCAACGGTGGTGGTGTTTTGCAGGTAAGTGTCGAGGGTGGTGGCGGAGTCCTTGTCTTTGGGGGGAATAATCATCTCCCCCTTTAGGTTGGGCCGCACTGAGAACTTGGCCAGTGGATTTAGTTTTTCCATCTCTGTGATGGCGGCATATGTCGTTTTCGTGTCCGTTTTCGAGATCCGGAATTTTGGCAGTGTCGTTGGGGGTGAGCTGGTGGTGGTGATTGGTGCCTTTTGGGCTGCTTGACGGCATTCATTTCCCGAAAAAGCACGTCGGCGTTTTTTGTTTTCAACCTTCGTCCAGTTGTCATCCTCAGTGGCGGTAACAGTGGTGGTGGAGTTGTTGGAGGCGGTGGCAGTGTTCTTGCTTTTCAGGGCTTCGTGGAAGGCCCGTAGTTGGTCCGCTTTCTCTGTGCGGAGCCTGTCGTGGTTCGGGTCGTCAGGTTGGCGGTTCAGGCGGGGGTCGCGGTTAGGAGGGCGTATGCACTCCATAACCGGTGGTTAAGTGGTGAATGGTCCTGTCCTTGTCTTTGGGGTGAACGATCAGGATTTGGGGTGAGCGTAGCGAGAGGACCAATCACAGCGGCTTAAGCGTAAGGTGTGAAACGCTCTGATCCTGAACCAGAGGTTGAAGGTCGAGACTAGGTCGGCGATCGTACCCCTACGTCCTCTGCATAGACCTAGTCTCTCGGCGTAGCTGGCTGTACGCTGATTGGCTGGTAGGCGCGCGGCCGGAGCTCAGTTGGGAGTTGTAGGGTAGAGGAGCCACTACACTGGATACCACCCCTACAAACGCGGTTTGTCGCTGAGTAGCCGTCCCGCGAATTCCCCAGTGTATGCCTTGTGGTCTAGGTCAACCAGCGCCGCCTTACATGACGGAGGTCAACTATTAAGCCACGCCTACCTCCGCTATATAAGACCTGACCTACACCAACCAGCAAGCAACACCTCCTCCTGCCTGGCGGCCCTCGCTCCCGCCGGCGAGCATGGCGACCCACAAGCTGGTCCTCTCTGAGCACCCTCACCAACCAGCTCTCTCTACTCAACGCTTGTAACCATGCTGCCTTCCCGGCACCAAGCTGCATTGTACATCCAATACAATATGTATACAGAGAGCACATTGTGAGTTTCCTTTCTCCATCCCATCCTGAGTGTGAACCCAAACATCACGTTCCCCACAACCTTACTTGGTGCTGGCGGACGCTCGCCACACAAGGGGTCACAGCTCAAGATTGAAGAAGCCGCAGGTCCAGAAAACTGGGAAGGCAGACTTTTTCGGAGTCAGAGTTGTGAACTCTAGGAACAATCTACCAGAAAGTTTTGTGACGGCACCGGGTGTGAGCTCTTTTAAGACCAGACTTGATCAACACTGGAGCAGGTTCAGGTACATTCAGGAGCCGGTGCATGCCCGGTACTTGCCAACAGTGCGTTACAGAGACGGGACCGAGTAAGCGGCTAATGAGCCGATCAATTGATGAAGAGGATAAAAGAAAAAGAAAAGTAACAGTGCGTGACCGATTGCCCAAGCGGCTAGCGAGCCGATTAGTGATGGAGAGGATAAGAGTAAAATGTGTGTCTCTCTTGGTATTCGTTGGTGAAAATGTTGGCTAAGTGTTGGCCTCGCCGTGATCTGTGGTGGTCGCTGGGGTAAAGTAAACAGCGGACATGATAAACAAACCATTGGGCTGAGGTGAGAGAGTTCCTTCACAGGTGATGAGTGCTGTCCAGTTTTTGTAAACTGTACATTTAAAAAGATTGAGAAATTGAGAGCCATACATTGACAAAAAGATTGGTTACCACGATGATGAACTACGACAGAACAGATGTGGTGTTTGTGGTGGAGAGAAGTGCCAGCATGAAGCGGTACCTGCCAGAATTGCTGGAGGCATACATCGTCCCTACAGTGTCGTAAGTTACCTCACTAATTTGTTTCTCTTACCGGATCATAATATTTAGGGTAATACTTTCGCTACTAAACCACGCAATGGTAAATTTTTACTTATGCATCTGTCTTTGGATGTTAAGAATATGTTTTTCTGATGATATTTGATGAGTTTCGAATGAATTTGATATTCATTTCCGCCGGAAATTACTAGTCCCCCCCCAACAATAATGGGGGGAGAGCCTGGGATATCTGGGTTTTTGGGTGGGGGAGAAAATGAAAACGAATCATCTAAGCAAACAAAACCTAACCTTACCTCTAGCCGGGGGCTCTGCCCCCGGACCCCTGGTAAGCCTAGCTTAAATTAACCTAACTGTCTCGATATTTAAAAACTTTGGGGCGCACCATATCCGAAAGTACAATACCTTAGAAGTGGAAGGACCAGGGTTTGTAAGAATAGGATAGAATGATCGTCTTTCTTGTAAAACTTCGGCAATGAACTTAAAATAATCAAAAGGAGCACAAATGACAACCAACCTCCACCACGGCCATTGTGAGACTGATCAATGAAATTACCGAGGCTGCTTCCTTTGAAAAATATTGCGTGATGATATCATTACATCATTGGTTACCACTGGTTGACGTCAGTCAATATTGAGTATGAGTGATGCGCAAATAACATCTCCTCAAGGTAAATAAGACAAGGCGACACTTGACTGAGCCAATTTGATAATATTGAAAAATTGATATCTCGGTTATCCTTAATTTCCAGCTGAAAGATCAAAGAAGAAAAAGGTCTTAGAATTGTCTAAACATTATGAAATACATAGTATAACAGCGAGAGAAAGACCAGTGCAAAACGAAAAAATCACCCACAGATTGGTTAATATTTAAGGTAGTATTTGCCAACACCAACATATAGGGAGAAAAAACACTTAAATGATATATTCTATAGCATTTCCACCGGAAATTTAATTTTTCTAGCATTTAACGGATAAAATTACGGTAAAATTTTAGTTTTGGTCATCCCTGTATTTATAGATATCAAACCTAACTTAAACGAGGGGTGCCCATTTCGTCACCAATTCGTTTCATCATCACCTATTTATACCCGTTTTGTCACCTCGTTCATTCCCATCACCATTTCAAGGGCTTTGGACCTTTATTATGTATTCACCGAAGCAGTGAAGATGTAATGGCTGGTTTACTATCTTTTGTGTACATACTGTTACGACCTTCCTTTTTTCAGAAGCAGTAGATATCTCGCAAGTGTTGTCGAACTACCACTAGCTGTCCCGCCAGTCTCTGGTAATTTCCCAACGATCGGTATCAGTGTACAGACAAACAACAGGCTGATAGATTTCCACCAGGTCACAGAAACACACTTGTGCACTGTAGCCTCTTTAATAGTCACTAATTCTTCACAACACTGTAACAGGGTAATGTCTTCACAGCTTGACTCCACACTTCAAATATATAGTCAGCACACTACCAGTTTACAAATCCTTAGTCTTCTCACTTTATATTAATCACAACAATTCCACAATACAGTGGTCCCTCGGTTAACGAACGCCTCGGTTAATGAAATTTCGGTTAACAAATTACCTTCCAAAAGAATCTTCAATTCAGTTAACGAAAAGAAATTCGATTAATAAAATCGTTACGAAAATCACGTTTTGTTTTGAACATCAGCTGATAAGCTGAGGAGGTACTCAGCCAATTCAGTAGTCTCTTCTATGTTTACATTCGTTTCCATTGGAGTAAATATCAAGAAAATTGTGCTCTTTAATATTTGTGCATTTTTTTATACTGTATTAAAATTATTGGTCATTCTAAAATTTAGCCATCCAAGCTCTGTCTACATAAAGTTTTTCAACTATTATTTTTGGGTCGATATATGTAACTTTATTCATTTATTGAAACTCATTTACATGCACACACTGTCCTAAGGGCAAAGCTGAACTGTACATGTAATCAGAATAATGTATAAAATGTTTAATCAAATTTTTGTCTAGTGCAAACTATGGCATGTTTACATTCAAATTAATCACTATCTTATAAGAATTCCAGCAATGCAAATTAAATTCTCCCTGGTCACTTCTATTAAATTTTATAAGCAAAAAACAAAAACTCAATCTAAAGGACATAAATTAACAATTAAATACTTCACACCTCGGTGCCAACTGTCAAACATGTCACTGTCACCCCTCCCTACCCCCCACCTTCCAAAGAAAGGTTTGGGGGTTTTCAGAAGGCTGTAAGTTTTTATCTTATATAATATCTCAGACTAAAGTTAGGAGAATATAATTTGCATTGCTGGAATCCTTGCAAGACAGCGAATAATTTGAATATAAACGTCATATATTTTGCACGAGATAAAATGAATCACCTGTATCACATTACAGTAGTGATTTAAGAGTTCTAGTCACTAGCGTAGCTAGGGGGGGGCGGGGGGGGGCGGTCCGCCCCGGGCGGCACTTTTGGGTCTGCTCATCACCCATATCTGCAGCTACTGGAGACGTTAATCCATCCCTTTGTATCGGCGGCAAGTTAATCCTTGTCGTGTCTGACCTAACACCTGACCCACATCATCACGGCCACGTCATGAGCTACACCCTTGCTATGCGCCCCCCCCCCGCCACACACACAACCTGTAACCTGTTGAGGATTAAGGAAACAACTTCAAACAAGTACGCCAGTGAGCTCATGTGGTGTGGGTCAGGTGTTAGGTCAGACACGACGAGGATTAACTTGCCGCCGATACAAAGGGAAGGATTAACGTCTCCAGTAGCTGCAAAACCATGCAGTCTCGGGTCATATCAGTTCATGTACAGCCGACCAATCCACCAGTTACAAGCAATTCACTTCAGTTCTGCACAAGTCTCCATCGTGACAAGACGAGGGGAGGCTAGACGACTTTGAGATTTCAACAGCTTCATGAACTTGCTGAGAAATATGCCTTCCTTACCCCATTGAATCTTTTGGATGATAAATATGAGTGTCAAATAGATCACGATCACGACGACATTGATAAAGAGGAGTTCCTCGTTGAGAGAAAAAGACTTCAGCATTTTGTTGCTGTTGCTGCTATAACTATTAAAGACAGAATACAGACGTGGAAAGAAGGCCCCCTTGAACTTTTGCAGTTTATTCAAAAGTATAACCTTGGGAACTCGGTTCCAAATATAGTAATAATGCTGAGGATTTTCCTCACAATTGCTGTTAGTGTTGCTACCTGTGAGAGGAGTTTTCGAAACTAAAACTGATCAAGAATTACTTAAGATCTACTATGAGCACCTTGCGGTTGAGAAATCTTGCCATACTGTCTATAGAGCGACAATTGACAGATGAAATAGTTTTTGACAATGTCATTGAAGAATTTGCCAACAAAAAAACAAGAAAAGTTACTTTGTAGAAAGTTGTAGTTTTCATTTCAAAAATAAAGATGGTCCTAATTTTTTACACTTTTTTACTTTTTTCCCTATCCTATATGTCGTTTTGCTTTTTGTTTAACTGTTACTTATAAAGTTTAAGTATGTTTGGTGTGTATTTAAAGCATACTATATTTGAGTATGTGAAAGTACAGTAATATTATAATGGTACACAAACTATTTAATATATATATATATATATATATATATATATATATATAATATATATATATATATATTATTATTATATATATATATTTTTATTTTTTTTTTTTTTTTTTTTTTTTTTTTTTTTTTTTTTTTTTTTTTTTTTTTTTTTTTTTTTTTTTTTTTTTTTTTATTATTATTTTATTTATATATATTAATAATATTATTATATATATATATATATATATATATATATATATATATATATATATATATATATATATATATATATATATATATATATATATATATATATATATATATATATATATATATATATATATATATATATATATATATATATATATATAAGTGAGTCACTGTGCAATATGTATTTTTTTGTGGGGAGCACTGGGGCAAACTAAGGGCCTGGTAGTACACACTCTACTAGCCACTGGTTCTAGTGTATATGTACGTACAGTATATAGTGATTTAAGGGAATTTAGGGTGTTTCTGACTATGCATTTTTGGCTTTGCTTTGTATATACCTGTACTTTTCTGTGAGCTGAAACCAATTACCCAATATCCCATTGAAACAATAGTTTCGGTTAACGAACGACCTTCTGGAACGAATTGAGTTAGGTTAACAGAGGGACCACTGTACTGTACTTGCACAGCAATTGTCTTCGAGGCTTACAATAAGTAAATCATAAAAAATGATGCAATACATTATAGAATGTTCTTGCATAATTAATACATCATTATCATCAATATATTCACAAAAATTTAACTAAATTTGCCAAAATAACTGTTGCTTGGGAGAAAAAATAATCAAAACACCTAGTTTACAAAATTGTGATACAAAATTATGCTTCAGCATAACAATACATTGGGCATATAAAACAATATCAGATGATCAAAAAGCTGTTAATTAACCGCCAATCATTTCCATCAAGTACAGTAGTTTGCCCGATAATTGCCTGTTGTTTACAGAAATTACCTGACAGTCTAAACACAACCTCTGCTGAAGGTAGTGAAGAAGAAGTAATCACCTTCATTTATTCTGTATTTTGTTTATTTACTATTGTTTTAATCTTTTTCTTTATTAAATAATTAATGTTCATGTATAATAACAACACAAAAATTCTCGAGTCGTCTATAAACATGTGTAATTTGTATTCGTGTAAAAGAATTACCTTAACGGTCTGTTAGTGGTGACGAAATGGATTTGATATTGGTGACGAAATTGGTTTTTTTTACTGATGAACCTGGTTGGTGACGAAATGGGGTGTATCCACTTAACCTAACGTAACCTAACCTAACCACAGAACCCAGGAACTATGTCTAACCTAACGGAGGGGAGGGGGGCTTCACTCCTGCAGAGCCCCTCTTTCTGGTAAGGGTCAAATTCCTTATATTCCCCTGATGACTGAAACTAAAATAATAAC